CGTATCGCTGTCTGTCTCTCTCTCTCTCTCTGTGTGTGTGTGTGTGTGTGTGTGTGTGTGAAGGCGAGAGAGGATAAAAAGTGGCGTTGGGGGAGCAATGGCAGGGGTCTCGTTGACATCCCACGATGGGTATCACGTGGACGATGCGATCTATTTTAATCATCCAACGGAGTGTTGGATTCGCGGCACATTGACCCGTATTATACGTGCGACCAAAAAGGATGGCACTGCACATGTGTTGTACGGATGCAGTGCTGTGGAGTCGGATCGATATCTTCCGTCCCTGAGTCAGAATCCCTCATTGGTGCACGTCTACCCGCTGCAACAGCACGATATCCATCGCATTATTGAATCATGTGTTGAGGTTACAGAAGAGACCACCCTAAATGACCTTCTGGAACTCTCCTACCTGCATGACGCAACCCTACTGGAGCAGGTGCGTGCTCGATACTACGAAAACCTCATTTACACGCACATTGGCCCCATCACAATTGCGCTTAACCCCTACGACTTCACATTACCCAACTACACCGACAATAACATGCCAAAGTACCTCTTGGAGGGATCTAACGCCATTGAAACCTCATCTAAAAATCTGCCCCACGCCTGGACAGTGGGACATTACAGCTACTGGCGCATGTGTTTGGATAAACGCAACCAAAGCATTATAGTTAGCGGCGAAAGTGGAGCTGGCAAGACCGAAACTGCCAAAATTGTTGCTAAATACATTGGTGTTGTGTCCACAATGCAGTGCAGTTTACAGGAAAAGTCCGGGGCTGAGGAACTCACCCACAAGGTGAATCTCACCTCTCCCATCCTTGAGGCATTTGGTAACGCAAAGACCAAGAATAATGACAACAGTTCTCGATTTGGGAAGTTTATGAAGTTTTTCTTTAAGCACTCCCTAACCGGTGGTGTGATGACGGGAGCCTTGATTACGGTGTACCTTCTTGAGCGCTCGCGTATTGTTACCCATAGCAAAGGTGAGCGCGGATATCATAGTTTTTACCAATTACTTGCTGGCAATGACGACGCAGCCAAAAGTAGCCGCCTCAATCAGCTGCAATTAGCCCGCGCCGCGGATTACCGCTGCACCGCCATTGGTAATGCGATGACGATTGATGGAGTGAATGATGCCGACGACTTTGACAACGTGATGAGTGCAATGAAGTTTGTGGGCATGACTGAGGCGGAGTGTAACGCCGTGTGGAGTACAGTGGGAGCCGTGTTACACTTGTTGTCTCTAGAATTTAAGGCGCTAACAGATGATGAGTGCTACGTGGACATGGCGGCGCAGAATGCTGCCATTCATGTCCGCATGGTGAAGGAGCTCCTGGGCCTCCCTAATGACTTTTTTTTTCAGGAGCTCGTCACGACGACGCAGCTGACGCGCGGAGAAACGATTGTGCGCAAGCTGCGGTTAGCACAAGCCCTTGATTTGTGTGAGGGAATTGCGAAGTTGTTATATGAAGCACTCTTTTTGTGGCTTGTGGGACGTATCAACGAATTAATAAAACCCCCCTCCGATGATGAAGGTCAAGAAATGTTGTGGATTGGGCTACTTGATATCTTTGGTTTTGAAAACTTTCCCTATGGGAATTCATTTGAACAGCTGTGTATTAATTTGGCCAATGAGGCGCTACAAAACCACTACAACAATATCATCTTCACACGCGATATTGAAGAATGCCACAAGGAGGGGATTAACACGGAGAGTGTTGTGATTTATGACAATCAGCCCTGTGTGGATCTCATTTGTGGCGTGGACTTTTCCGGATGTGGTCCGGGTGGGTCGTCCAGGACGACAAACAAAATGTCTATTCTGCATCTCCTCGACGAGGAGTCGACACTTGCGAAGGGTAGTGACTTGGCCTTCCGTGAAAAGATCTGCGACACGTACGGGGGACGATTGCTAGACGGCAAAGGCGGGCACCCAAACTTTTTGCGTGCCAAGACCGACCGCAGCTCTTTTGTCATTAATCACTATGCAGGGAAGGTCACGTACAATGTGGAGGGGTTTCGAACCAAAAACTGCGATGCGACCAAGGAGACACTTAAGGATGCCATACGCTGCAGTACAATTCCGCTTGTGGCATCTCTTCTCGGCCGCAAAGTCTCAGACTCTGGGCTGGCCGGGAAAGCTACGGTTAGTTCCTTCTTTAAAGGTCAACTTGTGCAACTCATGACCGAAATCAACGGAACCCACCCACACTGGATACGATGCATCAAACCGCACAGCTCGAAAAAGCCACGTATGTTTAATGGCAGTGAGGTCATGAGTCAGATGCGTTCTGCTGGAGTTCTTGAAACGATCAAAATTCGTCAAAACTCCTTCTCGGTTCGTATCCCTTTTGCAGAGTTTCTACGGACGCATAGGGTGCTTACGCTGAAGTTGCATTCCAGTGTATTCGCTTTTTGTCGTTCTTTTAATATTGACCTGACAGGGTTTCAGGGACCGTTTTCCGCCAACTCCTCAGAGAAAGAGATGGTACGGGAGATTCTGAGACGTGCGGGCACAGCTTCAAATTCTCAAGGGCAAGTGGGGCTCACAAAGGTCTTTCTCAGGATGGAGACCTCACAGCACTTGTCTTCTATCGTGCGTACCGTCCAGAAAGGTTGCGCATTGATGATCCAAGCAGCTGCTCGGTGTACTTTGTCGTGTGGCGCTGTTAATATAAAATATCTTCGTCACAAACTTCAGATTATCGCTGCAGCTTTGAGCTTGCGTTCTTCGCAGTTGCGCATGCGGCAGATAGAATTACATGGGAGGGAGAAATACCTTTTAACTGCCCTTCGGGAGATTCTACTGCTTCAGAACGTGGAGACGGAAAGACGTGTTTGCTTGGAAGAAGAAGAGCGTACGGCACGCTTGCGTTTACTGGATGGCGCGAAAAAGGGAATAGACTCCATCAATCATCTTTTGCTGAAACGAAAAGAAGAACAGGATGTGGCAATGCAATGTGCGCTTATCAACATGGAGGAGGGCGCCCGTTGTGCTCTTGAAGATAATAATGATGCTTCTCGGCAATGCCTCTATGCGGCAATGGAACTACTTGCGCTTGAAGAGAATGTACGCGATGATCTGGAGCTGGAGGAGGCCATGGAACGGACATCTACTCTTGGGCCTTTGCACAGGAAAATGAACACATACCTGGCGTTGTGGTTTGTGCATGTGGTGGAGAAGCAGCAGTTTGATTTGTTGGAAGCAGAAAACGCATACCGCTGCAGAACAGCAGAAGAGGAGAGCATAGCATTCACCATGTTGTGCACCTTGGACAGTTTCCTTTTATCGGAGATAATGGCTCGGGTTTCCCTTCTTGATGAAGAGTCAGATGCCTTTTCTGGCTGCCGTCAGGGCTGGGATTTTGAGTGGTTACGTGTGGAGAAAATTTGGCTGACACGCAAATCCATCACTAATCGCCGCGCGGTTCTGCTTTTGCAGAAAAATGAGATAGAGACTAGACGAAATGTCGAACATTTATACAATGACTCCGCCATGGAGCTACTCAAGGCTTTTGCGCAGGGAAAGCAGCTTGCCCTAGAGGGGGAAAAAGAACGCCTGGCACTGGAGGAGGAGGAGCAACGGCTGTTGGAGGAAGAGGCCCTTTTCATGGTGAATGAGGAAGAGCGTCGGCGCTTCAATGCCATCCGAGAGGCTGCACAGCACCTTTGGCATAACATGATGGAAGAGGAACAGCTTGTGGGGGAAATAAAACGAGTTGAGGAAAAGAATCAATGTATTATTGCGTGCAAGGCGCAACTCACGCGCGAGTACACGCTACTCTGCCGGCGGAAGGAAATTGCAAGGGGGAGGTCGAGCCTCATGACTGACAAAATTGGGGACATGAAGGAACTTGAGGAGTACCAGCACCAGCAGAGGACCCTTTCGCAGACGCTTGCGACAAACCAAAAGTTACTGCTTGACATGGAAAAGAATTTGACGGAGTTTCGCTCCAGAACTTCGTTAAAGTCTCGTTTGCAGCGAACGCCCTCGTTGATCAGGTCTACAGGTTCTCCCAAGGCGCAGGAAGGTGTCTTGCCTCACGCACCGCCACACATCTCTGTTAGCGGGGAAGGATCTCTACACCTCATTCACCGCATGCATCTAATGAAGGGAGTCGCCAACAGTCGTGCGCGAGAGTGTAGCACAACACCTGGTGCATTGGCTGCGGCGAACCGTCTGAAGGTTTACCGAAAATCCCGGGAAAGAAGGAAGTGTGAGGCATTAGAGACACTGATAACAAAAAGAAACGCTATGCAACCTCGCAATCACTGTGAGTTGCAGGGAATGTTCACGTGTTTGACATCAGAGCAGTGCGCTTCCCCCACAGATTATTGCCTTCAGCGTAACCCTTTTAAGGACGACTGGGTTCCTGGCCCTCCTGACGCTGAGGGGATATATTGGGTGTTTACACCACACGGGGAACGGGTCCCATTGCTGTCAGTAGAGAGGTGCAACCCATCAGGCGCTTGGGACACTGACGTGAATGAGTGTGGCTATACAGATTCCCCCGATCCAAGTCTCCCCTGTTTCAATCGTTAGTTTATTCTTTATTTTATTTTTGCTTTGTCCTTCGTTCGGGGGGGTATTGAGTATCGGTATCGCATCTATCGTATAGGAAACATATCGACAACATTCCACGGGTGTGGTTGTTTCTGTAAGAACGTACAATGTGCCAATGCCTTAGTCCCCAAGCTATCTCTGCTTGTTTGCATGGCTCTTGTTAACAAGGCAACTGCAGCGTGCGACGCTATTATTATTATTATTTGCATTTGTGTTGGGATGTCCCATCACTGGTAACCCAACGAAGGCGGTGTCATCTTCCTTTTACACTGCTCCTATTTCGCACTCCCGCTCTTTCCTTTGAGGCATTGTGGCACATGCTGTACTCGCTGTGACAAAAGTGGCGCTTGCTGTAGAGGGATTTGTGGCTGTATAAAATGGGGGCGATGCGCCCTCGTGTGAAAGATAACGATGTCTGTGCTTCATTCATACCCGCACAGCGTCGGCAGACTGCGCACTGGATGGGCATGATGCACTGCGTAGATAGCACCCCCGTTTTTGCCAAGGGAATTCCATGCGCATGTGCAATCTTTTTCTACACAGCAAAAAACCGCGAACTCCCACTTTGCTTGCCACACACACACACACACACACAGGGAAATGAATCGGCAGCTGTCCAATGACGTGGTGCTTGCACCGCACCGCCTCCCCACATCATCAGCGGGATACGACGCCAACTAAAGCACCACTGCCACGTCTAGTGCAATGCACCCGCAAAGGAAAGAGAAAGGAGCCACAGGGCACCCTTCTGTTGCGTTAATTTCTGTCTCTTCCATGATCACGCGAGGCAGCAGGCATTCTGCGCAGAGCACCAACATCTCCAGGGAAAATGACGTTGAAATGAGGAGCATGGCGCAGCATTACCAAATGCGGCAGGCGACGAATCACTCTTTTCCCACTGTACTCTTCAGTGCGCCGTGCATGTGTGTGTGCGCGCAGAGGCAAATGATGAACTGCAGCGCTTTTCTGAGTGGAGTGAGACAAAAGAATGAGGGCAGTGACATAATGCTGTCAAACAATAATAATGCCAAGGAACAAGACTGCGAATGTGGTGTGAGCGCAGTCCAGCGGGAGAAGCGGGAGAAGCGGCTGCAGCTGAGGCGTGCGGAGAATGATACTGATGATATGTTTGTTTGAAGGGAATCCGCAAAGGAGAGGGACGGATTGTGGTCAGTGGTGCTGCTGTGAGAGAAGAAACGAAAAAGACGGGAATGAAAAACAAGAACAAAGACTGTGCACATTCACTGCTCTCCACGGCGCCACAGAATGCGATTGCCATCTATGCGGATGCAGCTGCCGCCATGCATGCATTACAGCATCATCCACCTCTGTGTCTCCAATTTGCTGATACTTTGAAGGATGCAGAGATGACATCTCACTTTTTGGTTGCTGAATCTATTCTTTATATTATTGTCTGGCAGAAGAAGCAGCTCTCAGTGCAGACGAGGCATTGGGTTGTGTCGATAGTCCTAAACGGGATGCCGCATTGCTGTGGCAAGGCAGTGTAAACCGCACTTCAGTTGTTCTTTTCCTTGGTGGACAGTGAGCACCGTGTACTTCTACTCTTCTTGACTGTCCTCGC